CACTTGGCTTGATCATACAGATCCACGACATACCGCTCAGCACAGGAATCATATAACCTGGAAGCCAGTAGAAAATGAACTGAGCGGTCATAATTGTGAAATAGAAGAGAAGCTGATTGGAAAGAAACTTTTGCCCCAAAGTCAACTGGTTACAATCGCCATATACATTCGACCGACCATTAGTTTGATTCTGATTCAAGATGCGTAATAAAGCAATGGAAGGAAAATTCGAAGGCCATACTTCACTTGATGGCCAAACGAGAAAACGACGAAGAATACCTATAGATTTACTCATTCAACAACAAAGAATAGTCAAGTTCGTTATGAAAGCGTACCAGCTAGTCCAAAACCGAGAAACTGGATGGAAACAACAAAGAAGAACATGTAAACAAACTTGAAAGAGGGCCTTTGCTCTTGATATTCTAAATAACTGATCACTGATATGTCATAAACATTGGCGAATCGCCATCCGATATTGGCCATTATCAAAACGATTGTATGCTCCTTCATGCTCCACGGGTCGGCGTTTATCTTCGACCATACTCTACCAAGAATATGTGCAGCTAAAATAGCCATAACAGGAGTAATAATATTATACAGATTAGTAACATAATACCACATATGATAGAATGACATTGCACCAAGAAATATCAGTCCGATAGTGAACGAACGAATTGTCAACGACTTAACACTTTGATCATCTTTGTTCGGGCAAATTCCAGCGACTTCTTCGAATGCTGTTTGTTCCGCATCGCAGTAGACAGGAATTCCAAGGGGCATTGGATTGTCATCTTGGTGATTTTCGATTTGTATCGAATACACCAACTGAGCCAATTCAACATCTTCGCTGGTTTGACTATCGTCGCCATGTGTGGATATGATAGACATTGGATTGTGATAATGTTTTATAGGTATATAATAGTTAAATGTAATCACAAGCGTCGATAAATTATCTTTATGACCAGGAAAAACCTGTATATTACATCGATATTCTTCTATACATACAGCAGAAATCGAAAAAAAAAGAATATATGGTTTGAAAGAAGAAACAAAATATTTTGTACAATGTTTTTCTTTCTGGCTTCAACACAGTCGCTAATAGACACAGTTATTTTATCATGTGAGCTGTCAGATTCGATTCTTTTTATTTTCAAATATATGACCACATTCTTCTCGCCTAATTGCTAGTTTTTCTTTGCTCATTAAGCATTAGTCTCAAAAGCAGTATCTTAATTGCCGCCTCCGCATCCATGTGATAATTGATCATATACATTGCCAACTGACAGCATATACACAAATTCGTCATATTCTTCAAGAGGAACAGTGTATAGTAGAATCTTGATTAGTGAGCAACCTTCTGGTATGATCAATCTATCTTACTGCGCGCTCTTCACTCCCATCTGGTGATGACATCGGAAAGATCTTACCCCTATTTTGAATTTTCGTATATATTTTCTTTCCCCATTTTTAATAAAAAAGACATTCACAAATGATGGTATTCTTATTTTTCTACTGAGAGTTGAAATTCACCTTTTGATTTAGTTCAATATGACAAGGGATGCCATCTGACCTTCTCTCCCATTACCAAATTCTTTCAAAAATCTTAGTTTATAGTGAAGAACATTCTAAGACGATTCCTACTGACTTTTAATATATTCCGGTGATCTGAAATCTGTTCTATATCATTGGATTGTTTTTCAAAAATAAACTGAAGGTACAAAAAACTACTCATCAATAATGAATAAGTGCATATGATAATCTGAAGCAAAGTTTGGAAAACCGAAGTCAGAAGAAAGTCTCAAAACAATTATTAGCTAAGATGGAAAGATATGTCTATTAGAAAACGTTGGATCATATATCGAATTTCAGATACAGTAGAACCAAAACACAAGCTTTCTGTCTATTATACAGATTAATAATGGTATTCGTCTAACTTATAATTAATTTTTGGATGAAGCCTTTGTTATTTGCACACAGTCAATGTATTCAGTATCGTTGCAGACGTTATAACAGAGAAGAAAAGATTAAATAACGAACTTTCCCTAATGTAATATCGATACAGCTAGTTTCGACTTGGTGTTGTTGTTGTGTATGACGGATGTAATTTCATCATACCACGAAATCGAGAGAAAAGAAAGAAAGAATTGCACCATCTGCAATCTTGTGCAACATAAATAAGGGCATCAGAAGGAGTGAAAGAGACGAGCCATGATCGATGGCTAAACACAACTCTGAAGTTATGAGACAGAAGCATATCTTTCGGTTCTTCGGAACCACAGTCATCGATCAATTCGACACTCGTTTTTTTTTCTCATAAAACTGGTAAACATGAACTTTAACATCTTCGCCCTCAAGATTAACTTTCTTGTTTACGCGATTATAAAACAGAAAATACCATTTTTTACATATGAAAGNACACAGTCGCTAATAGACACAGTTATTTTATCATGTGAGCTGTCAGATTCGATTCTTTTTATTTTCAAATATATGACCACATTCTTCTCGCCTAATTGCTAGTTTTTTCTTTGCTCATTAAGCATTAGTCTCAAAAGCAGTATCTTAATTGCCGCCTCCGCATCCATGTGATAATTGATCATATACATTGCCAACTGACAGCATATACACAAATTCGTCATATTCTTCAAGAGGAGCAGTGTATAGTAGAATCTTGATTAGTGAGCAGCCTTCTCGTATGATCAATCTATCTTACTACACGCTCTGCACTCCCATCTGGTGATGACATCGGAAAGATCTTACCCCTATTTTGAATTTTCGTATATATTTTCTTTCCCCATTTTTATAAAGAAGACATTCACAAATGATGGTATTCTTATTTCTACTGAGAGTTGAAATTCACCTTTTGATTTAGTTCAATACGACAAGGGATGCCATCTGACATTCTCTCCCATCACTAAACTCTTTCAAAAATCTTAGTTTATAGTGAAGAACATTCTAAGACGCTACCTACTGACTTTTAATATATTCCGGCGGTCTGAAATCTGTTCTATATCATTGAATTGTTTTTCTCAAAAATAAACTGAAGATACGAAGAACTACTCATCAATAATGAATAAGTGAATATGATAATCTGAAGGAAAATTTGGAAAACCGTAGTCAGAAGACAGTCTCAAAACAATTGTTAGCTAAGATGGAAAGATTTGTCTAGAAAACGTTGGATCATATCGAATTTCAGATACAGTAATATACCAAAAGACAAGCTTTCTATCTATTATACAGATTGATAATGGTATTCGTCTAACTTATAATTAATTTTTGGAGGAAGCCTTTGATATTTGTACATAGTCAGTGCATTCAGTATCGTTGCAGACGTTATAACAGAGAAGAAAAGATTAAACAACGAACTTTCCCTAATGCAATATCGATACAGTTAGTTTCGACTTGGTGTTGTTGTTGTGTACGACGGGTGTAATTTCATCATACCACGAAATCGATAGAAAAGAAAGAAAGAATTGCACCATCTACAACCTTGTGCAACATAAATAAGGACATCAGAAGGAATGAAAGAGACGAGCCATGATCGATGGCTAAACACAACTCTGAAGTTATGAGACAGAAGCATATCTTTCGGTTCTTCGGAACCACAGTCATCGATCAATTCGACACTCGTTTTTTTTTCTCATAAAACTGCATGGTAAACATGAACTTTAACATCTTCGCCCTCAAGATTAACTTTCTTGTTTACGCGGTTATAAAACAGAAAATATCAGTTTTTACATATGAAAGTTAACATAATTTTGAGAAGTGCTCGTCAGAAATGTTAAATATCCACAAACCATGATATAAACTACCGAATATTAAAAAAGGGGTATTAAGTTCGAGAGACAAGTAAGAAATGATTTCGAAAATGTTGATTGCTTGCGTGTTAGTGCTTGTGCCACTGATCGTCAATGCTGGTATTGATGATGTATGTCTTGCGTGCATCTGCCAAGTTGAATCAGGCTGTCAACCTCTTGGATGTCGTTGGGATGTTTATTCCAATTCGTGTGGTTATTATCAATTAAAAAAAGGTTATTGGCAAGATTGTGGTTCACCAGGTGGTTCGCTCGAGGCGTGTGCTGCTGACAAGAGTTGTGCTGATCGATGTGTACGGGCTTATATGCAACGATATGCGAACCGATGTACTGGTGGTCGTACACCAACTTGCCGAGATTATGCTCGCGTTCACAATGGAGGACCTAGTGGATGCAAATCGACAAGCACAATTGGTTATGGTAATCGTGTTATGTCATGCTATTATAAGTAAAAAAATGATTGTCTTTTATCTTTCATTATTTGAAATAAAAAGCTGAATTGTTCTAATCTTTTTTTTGAATACAATAGAATCTGAGTGAGAAAATTCCCTTGATTGTTATTTTCGTAGAGTGTCATACAATGGTTTCTTTCAAATTGTGTAAGCGCTCATACGTATGAGTATTGGCTAAGTAAACAATCGCTCTGTGCATAGAGTATGCATTAAACTCCTCCACATAATAGAAGCCTCATGAATGTTTTAAACTACAATTAGTCGAGTTTCTACAGATTATCAAAAATTTACAAGAGTATACCAACGTTTTTGAAATAGATTGTACCATTTTTTTACTTTAACCCCTTTTTATTTCTCAAAATGTATTGTAGAAATCTAAAAACGTTTACAGAAGACACTAGAGAAGTTTTTAAATGCATGGGACTTGTAATATTACTAGTAAATTGAAACTTCAGCAGGGGTCTCTTTCATCGGGAGGGCTTTATTATAAATGAATTTTTCTTCGTTGTTTATTGTTCGAATGACGCAATGAGAAAATTCCCAGATCGAAAAAGAAATCGCTGCACTGCATACTTATATAAGCGAACGACATCGCTAATCAGTCATTTCTTCAACATTTTACAATTGAAAAAGTTTTCAGAGTTACTTTATTCGTTTATATCTGCACTGATCAACATGTTTAGCCTCTTGCAATCTCAGCATCCACCACAATGTTCACAATCTGGATGTGGCAAACCGGTTGATTGCAAATGCACTACTTGCCAGAAGGAGTTTTGCATGTTTCACTTTATGGACGATAAACGTGGGCATCAATTTAAGTCAGAAGATGATGTACAAGGACAGGCATATAGTGATCCACACTTTGTTGGCTTCAACAATCAAACTTTTGATCGACATCCGACTGGTGACGCTATTCTGTTCAAAAATTCATCCGCACAATTCGAAATACATATTCGTAATCAAAAAGTGTCTTTCCACTCAAATTCAAGCCCGGCAATTATCAAAGCCATCGCTATTCGTGTTGGTGATGAGATTATTCAGTACGCTGTAGATCGTACTTTTCAGATTGATGGTAAACCGCACAAATTAGATGGTATTGGTATAGCCACTCCGAAAACACGCACCACGATCATTGAAGAAAATAAAAATACGTTCCATGNGGCTAAACACACCTCTGAAGTTATGAGACAGAAGCATATCTTTCGGTTCTTCGGAACCACAGTCATCGATCAATTCGACACTCGTTTTTTTTTCTCATAAAACTGGTAAACATGAACTTTAACATCTTCGCCCTCAAGATTAACTTTCTTGTTTACGCGATTATAAAACAGAAAATACCATTTTTTACATATGAAAGTTAACATAATTTTGAGAAGTGCTCGTCAGAAATGTTAAATACCCACAAACCATGATATAAACTACCGAATATAAAAGAAATGGTTATTAAGTTCGAGAGACAAGTAAGAAATGATTTCGAAAACGTTGATTGCTTGTGTGTTAGTGCTTGTGCCACTGATCGTCAATGCTAGTATTGATGATGCATGCCTTGCGTGCATCTGCCAAGTTGAATCAGGCTGTCAACCTCTTGGGTGTCGTTGGGATGTTTATTCCAATTCGTGTGGTTATTATCAATTGAAAAAAGGTTATTGGCAAGATTGTGGTTCACCAGGTGGTTCGCTCCAGGCGTGTGCTGCTGACAAGGATTGTGCTGATCAATGTGTACGGGCTTATATGCAACGATATGCGAACCGATGTACTGGTGGTCGTACACCAACTTGCCGAGATTATGCTCGCGTTCACAATGGAGGACCTGGCGGATGCAAATCGGCAAGCACAATTGGTTATGGTAATCGTGTTATGTCATGCTATTCTAAGTAAAAAAATGATTGTCTTTTATGTTTCATTATTTGAAATAAAAAGCTGGATTGTTCTAATCTTTTTTTTTGAATACAATAGAATCTGAGTGAGAAAATTCCCTTGATTGATATTTTCGTAGAGTGTCATACAATGGTTTCTTTCAAATTGTGTAAGCGCTCATACGTATGAGTATTGGCTAGGTAAACAATCGCTCTGTGCATAGAGTATGCATTAAACTCCTCCACATAATAGAAGCCTCATGAATGTTTTAAACTACAATTAGTCGAGTTTCTACAGATTATCGGACATTTACAAGAGTATACCAACGTTTTTGAAATAGATTTTACTATTTTTTTACTTTAACCCCTTTTATTTCTCAAAATTTATTGTAGAAATCTAAAAACGTTTACAGAAGACACTAGAGAAGTTTTTTAAATACAGGGGGCTTGTAATATTACTAGTAAATTGAAACTTCAGCAGGGGTTTCTTTCACCGGGAGGGATTTATTATAAATGAATTTTTCTTAGTCGTTTATTATTCGAATGACGCAGTGAGAAAATTCCCAGATCGAAAAGAAATCACCGCACTGCATAGTTATATAAGCGAACGACATCGCTAATCAGTCATTTCTTCAACATTTTACAATTGAAAAAGTTTTCACAGTTACTTTATTCGTTTATATCTGCATTAATCAACATGGCTAGCCTCTTGAAATCTCAGCTTCCATCACAATGTTCATAATATGGATGTGGCAAACCGGTTGATTGCAAATGCACTACTTGCCAGAAGGAGTTTTGCATGTTTCACTTTATGGACGATAAACGTGGGCATCAATTTAAGCCAGAAGATGATGTACAAGGACCGGCATACAGTGCTCCACACTTTGTTGGCTTCAACAATCAAACTTTCGATCGACATCCGACTGGTGACGCTATTCTGTTCAAAAATTCATCCGCACAATTCGAAATACATATTCGTAATCAAAAAGTGTCTTTCCACTCAAATTCAAGCCCGGCAGTTATCAAAGCCATCGCTATTCGTGTTGGTGATGAGATTATTCAGTACGCTGTAGATCGTACTTTTCAGATTGATGGTAAACCGCACAAATTAGATGGTATTGGTATAGCCACTCCGAAAACACGCACCACGATCATTGAAGAAAATAAAAATACGTTCCATGTGTATACTACTATTGGTCATAAAGTAACCGTTTATAACAGTTACGGTTATAATTTAAATATAACACTGAAACTACCTCGAGAGCAAGCTGTAAATGGTGAACCTAGTCTTCTTGGCCAACTCAACGGAAAATACGGGGATATTATTGTTCCCACAAAAAGCTTTATCTCTATTGATCAAATAAACGATACACAACGAGCTGCTGCTGCTAGGAGAATCACTAATAACGTGGATGTAAGTAAGGAGGAATTAACAAGACGTGCCGAAGAACTTTTGGCCCAACGAGGAATCACTCATGCGCCTACAGTTAAGAATCTGGTATATGATTATTTGCATATTCCAGCTGAAATACGTGACCAAGTCATTGCAGAAAATATACCACAAGTTAAAGAACAAATTACAAAGCGAGAAGAACTAGTGGAAAAACAAAAACAAGCGGGTTACGATTATTGTTCTCTCAATGCTATCAAAGGTCAGGTACAAGAAGAACAAGAAGAAGACGGATATCTTGAAAAACTCGAAAAAAGAATTACTCAACTGGAGAGAAACATGGCAATGATATCAATTACAACACCAAATGCTGGAAAACGTCGATTGGAAAATCTAGAAGCAAGAATTCTCGAACTCGAAAAACAATTTGCGAAATAACTTTTTTTGCCCGTGTTATGCCCTTCTAAAGATTCATAATAAACTTAATTCCGCACTTTCAGAATCAATATAGATACGAAGTTAAAGTGAAGGTTAAAAACTGTCTTTCCCGAAGAGAATACAATTTGGATTTGATGTCTGATATATTTTTAGCAGGTGACAGAAACGTGAAATGACGAATGTTGCTATACATTTGTTAACGAAGAACGACAAGCTAGAGAGTTTCATTATCGACAGTACTGCAGCTATTGTTCTCGTTACTTTCCAACATCCTATTCACCACGTTTCGAGAACGTTCGGCATTGGCTCTAAAGACTTGCAGTTCCGGATGATCGGAAGGTAATGTTTGCTGTGCGAGATCAACAGCACGTTGGAAATATGAAAGTGCATTGGAGTGTTCATTCATACATTCGTATAACAGACCTATGTCAATCAGAATAGTCGACAAGGCCAGATGATTTTCGGGGAAAAGTATTTGTCCGATTTCAAATTCCTTTTGACGATGTAAAAGCGCTTTCGGATAATCGTGCAGATTTTCGCATAACGTTGCAATATTGCTGTGAGTATATAGCAATTCGANATCAACAGCACGTTGGAAATATGAAAGTGCATTGGAGTGTTCATTCATACATTCGTATAACAGACCTATGTCAATCAGAATAGTCGACAAGGCCAGATGATTTTCGGGGAAAAGTATTTGTCCGATTTCAAATTCCTTTTGACGATGTAAAAGCGCTTTCGGATAATCGTGCAGATTTTCGCATAACGTTGCAATATTGCTGTGAGTATATAGCAATTCGACATGATTGGAAGGGCGAATTTTTCTGTAGATATCAAGTAGTTTCTCACAATATAGAAGTGCCTTGCTGAATTCTTCTTTTTCGAAACACGCTGCACTAAAGTTTTTATAACACTGGATGAAGTTGGGGTGATCGGAAGGAAGTATTCGATGATAAATTTCCAGTGCTTTTTCATAAAATGAGATGGCTTTTGAATAATCTTTGATGCCAAAATATGCAGCACCAATGTTATTGTAGGAAATACCTAAATCGGAATGATCAGTAGATAACATATTTTGACGAATATTTAACGCTTTTTCGTAAAACGATATCGCTTTCAAGTATTCCTCCGTGCTGAGATATACATTGCCCATGTTGACATAACAACTAGCTAAAAAACCGTCATGTGATGAGGTCAGCGTATGATATATTTCAAGAGCCCTTTCATGAAAACTAATTGCTTGCGAATAGTCGGCCATCAGACGATACGTTGAACCCATGTGATCATAAGAAATAGCAACGTCGTAATGGTTCACAGGATATATGTTTTGGCGAATCTTCAGTCCTTCTTCGTAATGCCAAAGAGCTTTAGAACACTCACCCATAAGTGTATACACTAAACCAATATTGTTATACGATAATGCCACCAACGGATGATTCGAAGTGAATACTGTTTGGCAGAGTTCTAACGACTTTCTATGGTATTCGAGTGCTTTAAAGTACTCGCCAAGATTTTCGCAGACTCCACCAAGATTGTTATATAAACTAATAAAAATCGAGTGATTTGATGGCAATATTCTCACGCAGATTTTCAGTGCTTTCTCATAAATTTCCAGTGCTTTTGTATACTTTCCCATTTTGTGCAGAGTCAAACCGAAGTTATTGTACGCTAAGGCTAAATTCGGATGGTAAGAAGGAAGTATTTTCTGATAAATATCAAGTGATTTCTTGTAGTATTCAAGCGCGTCGGAATAGCTATCTGTGTACATATAAACTAGAGCCATGTTGTTATATATAGTAGCAACGGTGAAATCGTTTGGATTACTTTGTTTTTCTGCTATATTGAGCGCTGTTTGATACAGATGAAGTGGTGTAGAATAGTCACCCATATTCAAATGCAGCAAACCCATACTATTGTAGAGATTAATTAGATTCGAATCATTTTTCGTGTGCAATCTTTGACTAATCTCCATGCATCTTTCATAAGACACGAGAGCATCTTTGTAATTGCCCTCATTATCATAAATGGACCCAAGGCCTAGATAAATATGTACCTTTGCATTATCATCAGATACTAAATTAAGCATTGCCTCATATAATTGCTTCGCTTTACCATATTCTCCTAATCTCAGTAACAATTTTCCTAGTTGATACTGTCCTGATGAGTCTGGTTCGATTTCTTCTCGTATTTTCTTAGTAACATCACAGAGTTGTTGATCATTATCCTTCGTCAACGAAAGTTTCACCTGCCAAAATCGATCATCACCCTTTACACTGTCAATATCACCTATCCGAAAAACGGTATGCATAGAGAATAAAAACTCTTGTTCCTGATCGAATTGAGTGACACCGGAGAGACGCGCAAAAGGAAATGAAGAGATCGATGTATCTATTGTCATCTCGAAAATAACTGCAACTAAATCTGTCGAATCTCGAATACTCTCAGCAAGCATATAGGCGACTTGTCTGTCTATACTCGTTGATAAGAAATTATTGAATGATATCAGTCCACCCTTGGTTTTCACCAATCGTTCAAAATCTTCTTTTGATAAACCTTGTCCTCGATATACAGATATTGATTCCAATAGATCAGATATGTTTTGTTTCACGTAGAGTTGTTCAATATTTTCATGAAGGTCATGTATAAAAAATCCCATTAATAAAATCTCATCAATTTCTTGAGTGCGTAAAGCACGATTTACCATCAAATAAATGTAAGATTGTGAAGTATACCACCATATAGGCGGTTTCAACTTGTATTCGCGCTCTAATTTGACATAATTCTCACTTCCAGCGGAAGAATCCTCCTCTTTCTCACGTAAAAACTCGGTCAAATGTTTAATAGCGAAATCAACATCATAATTAATTCCTAAGATAATCTCCTTCAGAATCTGCGAGTACATAAACGTTTGATCCACATGATTTTGATCTGAATCCGATACATTATCTAATGTCAGGAAACTCAATGACATCAAATTTTCTGCATACTGTTGTATAGCTTGTTTCAGCGAATCACAAATGGAGCNCTCCTCTTTCTCACGTAAAAACTCGGTCAAATGTTTAATAGCGAAATCAACATCATAATTAATTCCTAAGATAATCTCCTTCAGAATCTGCGAGTACATAAACGTTTGATCCACATGATTTTGATCTGAATCCGATACATTATCTAATGTCAGGAAACTCAATGACATCAAATTTTCTTCATACTGTTGTATAGCTTGTTTCAGCGAATCACAAATGGAGCCGATTTCGGTAAAAGTGCCTTTCACTTTCAGCCAATGCTCAGCTACGATGATGTTATTCAAGAAGATATAAATAGAATGAAGTTGAGGTATATCATAAATGAGCGGTATTATGTATTGAGCAATGGTGCCGGATACAATCATAAATACTTTTTCATGCTTTATTTCTGTAAGACAATCAATACAGGCATCGACATCATCGAATATGTCTATATGATTGACGATCCGGCGTAATTGTTCGACGAAATCAGCGTTTGGTTCGCTATTATTTGAATTCAACCAAATTACGAGGAAATTTTGAAACATACGGCTTGTTTTCACTCCCTTCGGTTTTTCATTAACTGTTTCAACATATGGTAATGTGAAATCTGACGATAATTGTGTTGCTGCATTCATCTGAAAGAAGGAATCATATATTCCCATGAATACATCATATTTACTTATAGCCAGTATTCTAACTGTACGACAGAATTTCGATTCGCTTCCTAACAGATACGAAAATACTGACTATCATAATAAAAACATTCTGGTTCTATTTAATTTGTAATGTTGATTAGTGAATCAAAACAGAGAAAAAAAAATAGATTCTTATCGTTGCGTCAGAGCACATTTTGGGAGTTAGTCAAGCATGAATAGCGATGAGTAAAATATTTCTTTACACGCTTTATAACTTATTCTGTCCATTTACGTCAATGACGTCAATAATTCAAGAGAGACAGAGAATAAACCAACTACGATCGTAACATAGTACTTGATCTTCAACTGTTGGTTTTGTTATTATAGAAAGCTCGAATTAACTTTTCTTGGCAAAGCGTTGAAATAATTATGAACAATTCGATATAGATATTCGATCGATATTTCGCTTTTAACATCAGAAATAATCCATGACTAACTAGAGGAAAATTTATTCATAAAAAGTTAACATAATGACACTCATACGAATGGTCATTATCTGATTCTCTAACTGTGTCTGACTCTTTTGCAGATACATCTGATGTTGTCCGATGGAAATTTCTTTAGTCGTGTTGCTTGTTCACTGTACCATTCTTGTGTTCGACAAAAACGAGCAAAACTTTCACAAATCAATCGAAGTAGATGAAACCTAAGACTATGAGGATGTTCAAGCTGTTGCTTTTTCGAGCGTATCATCTTGATAATGAACTATGTACAATTGTCGAACCTTCCTTCCGACTTTTCGACTACCACGGGCAATGAATAACGGTAACGTCGTTGCTTGGACACGAGCTTCTCGTTTCTTCTGTCTCCAGAAGTGTATGATGGATATATCGTCTGCTGTTAGATCAATAACAATACCGTGATGAAAATAATCCTATGGATTTGCAGTGGCAATATATGCGCCGGGAGAGAGATGCGTCTGAGTGGAATCGATACTAAGCAATTTTGAATTGCTTGATTGAAAGTCAATATTGCAGATTCGTAAAATGATATAAATGATCGGTGATGACGAAAAATAACACATAGTGTTGGCTTTCGCTCATTCCGTCCCACCCAAACGTTTACCTGATTGTACGAGTAGAGAACAAAACGCTGCTGATCGAATAAGCACTTTAAATATAGGTGAAAGAGTAATAACGATATATAGATGTCTATCGCTATCAGTGATCATTTATTATGTGAGGATTATTAACAATTTCTAAAGTCGAAAATGATCGTGTCACGGGAGAGGCAACGCTATTTCTTGAGAATTATTTTGTATAGTAGTTATGACTTGTCGACGCGTTGCATCATCGACCAATGCTTCCCAATGAGGACTTCCTTCGGCTATCCAAGTTAGATTACCAAATATATAGAGGGCACGTCTTGCACGTGTCAACATGACGTTTAAGCGATGTTCATCACTCAAGAATCCAATGGTTTCGCCATAGTTGGAGTTTCCGCTTCTTACGCACGATATTAGAACGATGTCCTTTTCTTTTCCTTGTGCACTATCAACAGTAAGAACTTCTATATGGCGTGGAAATTCAAGTGATCGTTCGCGAAATTTAGTCATTTGACTCTTGTATGGCGTAATAACAACGATACGTTTCTCTATTTCGATAAATTCTTCAACATCTTTCACATAAGGTTGTCGATTGGCAAGACGTTCAAGTAGTTTAATGCAGAACTTTTTAATGAAGATTCGCTCTTCCTTGTTATTCGATGAACCGCCATTAGGAGGACATGTATGACGCGTGTAAGTCAAATTATATAAATAGTAAGGTTCCATAGGATAATCAGGCCAATAATTCATTACACTCTCGTCTGTTTCTAAGTTACCGTTATAGAAATGCTCATTGGGAAAGCGACTTATTTCGTCATGCATACGATACTGTTTGGTTAGCATGGTTACATTTTCGTTGGAGATCAAATCATAAAGTCTGGTATAAAGCGATTGTGAAAGATTATGCCGTTGACCAGCAGGACTAAGAACGCAGGGAGGAAGTTGTTTGGGATCACCTACTAGTATAATTTTCGAGCAACCAAAGTAGAACGGTAACAGACAATCTGGCTCAAGACTTTGACAAGCTATCGAACAGAAATGACTTGTTAACATCAAGAAGTAAGCATTGGATAGTCCTACCTTCATCGATAATAATGAATTCGACATTTTTTCTCATCTTCATGTGAACGAGAGTGTTATTAGCCGAGTAATTCAGTGTCGAAACGATAACTTTCGCGCTTTGTAGAATGCCTTCTTTGATAGAATCTACTCGCTGGTTGATTCGTGGTTCGTCGTTGCGCATCATTTGAACGAGTCGTTTCATAGTTAATGATTCGAGAAAGTATTCACAAACATTATAGTCAAGAGGTGCTTCACGACCAACTCGAACCAGTTTATCTACGAAACACATAAGCATATATAGTCCTATACGGGAAATAATCACTAATCACGATTACCTTCTTTGTCGTCTGGATCCAGTTCATCTAATACTCGTTTGAACAATTCATCACAGGCATTATTTGATGGTGCACAGAGTAAAATTTTTTGGTCTTTTTTTAACAGCGGTATAAGAGTAATGACAACACCGGCAATGGTTTTACTTTTCCCAGTGCCTTTAAACAGAAATATTTGATTAACTTCGAACTAAACTATTTCTAACCTGGTGGACCATGAACAAGATGCATATGGCTACTGTTATTTTCATTGAACATCTGTATTGCATATCTAATAACATCTCTTTGATTCTCGTTAAAGTCTCCATTGATATGTTCATTATTTCGAATGTTTATATGTTGAAAATAGGGATCCGTATCATCCGGCATCAACATACTTGTCTGCTTTTCGAACTTTGGCAAATTGAAAACAGCACTAATCTGTCTTCGACATGATGTCAAATTGCTCAGCTTAGTGACAGAAATTTCCCGTGGTGAAGGATTGCAAATTTTTGTGATGGCATCTGAACACTTTTTTGAAGTGTAAAGGACAATGTCGGATTGGACCTTGACGATCTTGTCACTCGAACTTACTTCGACATTTTCCGGCCATCGGTCAAAGGTGTGAACGATAATAGCAAAGAAACTTTTTTGTTGACTTGGAAGTTTAATATTAATCAGAACAATATCTCCAAGACCAAGCTTAGGAAATATTCGAGTAAATGAAAAATCGATGTCGAAAGAATATGATCCGAAAATCAGAGTTGTTGGGATAACTTTTTCAGAGTGATGTGTGGGTTGTGTTTCTTGCGGTTCATATCTTCTGATTTGAATGATGATGTCACCATCTCTATTGAATAACTCATTGGATATCAGCGGCTTGGCGTCATCGATGATGCTCTCCCATAATTCATGATAGAGAAGAGGCATGAAGCATCGTTCGTAGAAGTCTTGTGCTGCTCTTTCAAATTCTAAAGTGTTCACAACAGAAAACGTTTGACTATATACTCGTATTCCTCCGAATTATATTACCGAATGAGTGCGGTACATTCAATAAAGGTTCAGGGGTCAAAGTCGTGTGAAATGCGTGCTTCATTCCAATTTTTTGTGTTAAATTATGAGGCACCCATCGAGTTACTATACGATCAAATAACACTCTTATATTTCCATGGACTTTTTCCGACCAAAGAGACCCATGAGATGAAGTGTGAAAGCCTGCTTCCCGCAAAAGTATTCTATTGCAATTGAAAAGATATAAAGCTGTTATTGCTCCTCTTTTGAATGTGTATAAGATGCGTGCTCTGATCCAAAGATGTGAACTTTGCGGATCATTACATTGCAATTGAAACCACGTTCTTGCTCTGTAATCGTCCATTTCTAAAGAAAATAAACTATTATAAAACCAGTGCATTCACAACCAAAACCAACCAGCTCACATGTACCATTGAAAGAAAAAAAATAAATTGTCGCTCCGTTACTAATAAACGTAGTTTCTTACGTTCTCTTCCCTTGTCGCTTTCTCTAATTTTAAATCTGCATTGTCACTTTGTTTTCTCTCTTTCACACGATAAGCTCATTTAACTAAACAATATAATGTAATAATAAATTTCTACAAAAAAAAAACATATTCAAGTTCGAAAGACTATACGTATAAAATCAATCTTATCGATACTATAAGTGCCAGTCACATCAAAGTAATTAGAGATTATAACCGTCACACATTTGATTTTGATTTTACTTTTGAATGCAACAATACATTTTTCAATATATTAACACGTGTTCACTCATTACATAAAAACACTAATACACGTCCTATTTCGTCAAATCAATGTACATGCAAGCATCGAGACGGCGTACTGTCGTTTTCGCTCTCGTCGTCCATGTTGACAAAAAAGGAAGGTTTTTCTTACGCGCATAAACATGTGACAAGTTACCGTCAGTATACTTCACCAGATTTCACCTTTCTTATATTTTTCATTACAAGATGATGAACCCGCAATAAATCCTACTGGTACCGACAATATTTTGATTTAGCTCGATGAAAAAGCATTGGATTCCACGTCACCTAGTACTCAACTTATGATTGATATGCTCAAAAGCATATCGAATATTAATTGCAAATTGTACAACAGTGCAGAATTATTCCTTGCAGAAGCTAATACTATAGCTAGAACAGGCAGAGTGATACTTGTTACATCTGGATGGTTCGCAGAGAGACTTTTCCCTGAATTATCAACATCTAAGTCCTCACTTTGTTCTTAGTGATGATCGTGAAGAATTTAAATTCTATAAACAATATATTGAACTGTTGCAAAATTATCCATAGACATCGGATAATAGGAAAAAAAAGATGCTACCCAGAGAAGAAAGATCGATGAATTCCAATACAGTTATATACCTGAGACAGCAATTAAATGATATACTAAAGATAGTTTTCTATATCGTTTGGTGAATAAAGCATTGCGATCGTTGGATATGGAACAGATTATTATCTTTCGACCTTTTATCAGAGATTTATGCAAACAACTTCAAACATTACACGAGCAAAACCAATCAGACACGCCATTAACAGTGTTTCGTGGACATGCAGATATGACTGTAAAGCAGTTTGCGACCATCGAGAGAAACGTTGGTAGTTTGATATCATTCAATGGGTTTCTATCAACTACAAAGGACTTTGATGTTGCTTTAGTATATGCTGGAGTTTCATCAGCTCAGAAGAGATCAGTCGTGTTTGAAATTCGAACCAATTACAAGTCGACAAATGTGGTGTTTGCTGACGTTGCAGCATATTCAGATATTCCGGAAGAAGAAGTTCTATTTAGTCTTTGTTCTGTATTTAAAATTGATAATATTCAAAATGATGAACAAAATGAATTGTCAAAGGTTATTTTGAGCACTCCAAATGAAGATCCAGTGGCTATTCCAGAACAGAGAAACTATCGTTTACCTTTTCTATACCAATACTCTCAGAAAACATATCTTATCAGAATATGCGCTGCGATCCTTTTCACGATGATAATAGCACTAGGTGCTCTGTTTGGTGTGATACTTAAATTTCAAAATCACAATGGAAGACCATATGACTGTGATGGTGCGAATTGTGTAGATGTTAGCACAACGTCAGGTAATGCATATTTAGTGACATGTTCTTTACCTAACTTTATCTATTTAATGTGACACTTATTTTCTTGACACAACGATCGCAACAGCATCAACGTGTATGTGTCTCTTCTCCCTTATTTAAGATGAATATTCGATATTTGAACGATAGCCTATCATATTTTTAATCAGTAGGAGCAGACTGTATTCCAGTTGGATGGAATTATAAAGGCGACTTGATAACAAGTGATCAACCTTATGTTCACCTAACTGTCGATCATGATTCAAATGTGTATGTTGCTCACGAAAAAATGAAGAGTTTGGATAAATGGTCGCCTCAAGGTACACTTTTGAAGCGATTATATCAATATCAATTTTGGAATCGAAGCTTGAATATTTTCAAAATAACAGATGACAATAATGGATCATGGGTGAGCGTAGGATACGATTTTAATCGTATTTTGAAATACTCAAATGGATCAGAATTGGGAGAAACGATCATCGCTGGAACACTTCTTCACATGTTTTCACACACGAAGGAAGTAGATATCGATGCGTATACAATAGCTGTTGATCAAACTGGTTATGTTATCTTGGGTGAATTGCATCGAGTATCAATATGGTCACCCGATGGAAAATTTCATAGTACAATTATGAATAAACATCGAATTCATGAGCCTGTAGGATAAGAAATATACACGAGGAAAATCGTAATTGACAGATTAGGAGATATCTATGCTTGTGTCAATCCTGGACGAATAGTAAGATTCAATAGAACTTCTAGTACATGTAAACACAGTATCGTGTGATTGACTTTTAAACGGCAATCTTTTAGTCAACGACTTGTATTTAATTTTGTTTTACTGATATTATATGTTGAATAAAAATTTAATAGTAGATGTATTTTGATGAAAGCGAACATAATGTAAGAGAAAACACTAATATTCGGTGTGCACAGAAAAAAGAAATGATTGTACTTGAGGTCGAAGCAGAACTTCGAATTTAGAAGACACGAGTGCTACCATTACACCCTCACCCTCAAGGCAACATTTATTTTAATTGGAATCAATTTCAAATTTTTGTATTCGGTGATTTACTGAGTCAACGACATAAAGGTTTCCTTGATGATCAAACGATAAACCGGTTGGATAGGATAATTGATTCAATTCATGTCCATATCCATTCCCACCAGCAACAATACTTCCTTTTTTCGCTCCTTCGATCCAACGCATGACTCGATTATTTCCATGATCCGCTACGTAGATTTGATTCAGCTGATCGAGAAGAATTCCTTGTGGGCCAGATAATTGCTTCAAACTATTTCCTTCGCCATTTCCTCCGGCAATAATAATACCTTGTCTTGCACCTTTCAACCATTTCATTACACGATGATTTGCACAATCCGATATATATACCGAGCCATCACGGTCAACAAAGATGGAACTGGGATGATTAAGTTGATTCAAATTCGATCCTCTTCCATTGACACCAGCCACTAATTTCCCATTTCCATCTCCGATTTGCCACTTTCTCACTTCATGTTTCTCGTCATCAGCAGTGTAAAGAAATCCGTCTCGATCAAGCGCTAAGCCAGAACATTGTATTTTAGCGATAATCACTCGTTCTGCCTGTTCCTTATCTCGAAACCATTGAACAATTCGTTTGTTTCCATAGTCACTAATGATAAAGCAATTCTTTTCTTTGTCAAGAATCATATCTCTCGGTGAATTCAACTGATTCATTTCTTTCCCTTTTCCATTTCCACCAGCAACAGTTTCGCAAGGACATTCATTTGATCTCCATTTCACAATACGATCGTTGTCTGAATCAACAATATAAATTGTTTGATCGTCAATCAATATGCTCGAACGATTCATTAACTGATTTCCTGCAGTTATGTCAATCCCAAATTCTTTCCATCTCGTGTCTAAATGAGAATTTATCTGAATGGTGACAATCTCAATCGCAATACTCCTTACTTGATCGATCAATGAGATTAATTTTGTTGATAAATAATGTTGGATTTTCTTCAATGAGAATGTATTTTGGTTGATTGAGTTCTTCGGTTAATTCAATCAATCTTTGTTTGAGTTCATCACATTTCTGTGTGTTATGAATCTGTTTCAATTGTTCGGTTATACCGGCAAATTGATAATCTATTCGTCGAAATGATTTCTTCAGCGATATGATTGCTTCTCGTCGACATTCTTCAGCTGCTTGTCTTATTTTATTGATGGAATCATTTTCCCATTGATCAATTTGTTTCATCAACGAATGTTCTGGCAAGTTTTGTTTAAATTCAACAAACTTTTGTAAAAATAACTCTCGTTCATTTTCCACAGCTTCAATTTCTTCACTGAGTTTCTGCTGCTCTGTATTCTTGGCCATGATGAATAAGTTTGAAATTACACGAAGAAATGTGCTCCTTAGATGTAATTGCACAAGAAAAACAAAATTTTTCGCAATATGTGCAATATCAAGCATTTCACAAGATAGCTTTATTCGAACGCAAAAGCAATAGTTATGAGATCAAGTAAGATTAGTTCGCTATGATAACTGATGTCTCATTTCGATTGTTGTATTTGTCATCGGCTCAACAATAGAGTTCATTTTATTTTTGCGTTCCATGATAAAATGATGCACAAGTCGATAGATAAGTTCACACAATTCAATCACACTCAGCGCGCTCAATCCAATCCATCTAAACAATACGTAGTTGAAAAGAAATGTTAATTTTTAAACGAGAATTTCACGTTCTACTTACAATCCTGTTTGTCCGCCAATGGCAGAGAAAGTATCGACTACTGTTAGTTTAGCTTCTTGATTATATTCAATAGTATATTTGCTGCTACACGATACTTGAACTTTCAGATAATTTCGATCGAAATAATAATCAAAATTTTGTGCGATGTCACTGGGAAGTAAAATACTGTCATTTGACGATAAAGTTCCTATGCTATTAGACCAATATTCTCGATCTCCCTCCGACGGCGCACCTTGTGCACTAACAATCGGCTGAAAATCGACGTGTTTACATTGAGAAGCACATCGCGAACACCATTTTGATTGAAGGGAATCGTTCGATACTAATCGTTGTCTGGCAAGAATCGCACACGCAATTTGGCCAGTGAACATGTTGCAACCCGTTGCCGAAATAAGAACATTATCATGTGTAAATATCTTTCGAGTGAAAAATGGAACAGGAAAAACGCATGAGCATTGAGAATATATATAAGATTGTTGACATAATTCTAAACATAACGATTCCGAGTAGACAATCTCAGTCGAAGCAATCGGATCGAGAAATGTTGATGCATAAAGAGCACGTAGATCATCACTAACAGTTGTTGTACAATTCGAATAAGGAGCTGCTAAGAATGTGGTTTCGCTTTTTTGATAGGTTATCAGATGTGATGCACCTGGTCGGAGAAAAATACCTGTTTCAATTGGCACAGGAAGTTCATCATTGTCATGCAGAGTTATAAGAACGCCATTATCGTACCATATCGAAGGGAAAAAGAGCTCTTGTGGAACGTAAAACCACAATGTGAGACCATCTCGTACAACCAGTGTCTCGCCATAGTCATTCACTGTAAACACTGTTCCTGATGCTTTCCAGTTGAATGTATAACAATTACCCATGACTGGTGATATCGATGCTGTAAATGCATTCGAACAATCAATTCCATTATAATCACATTTGAGCAAGACATCACTCAACTGAAAACCGATTGAAACCAATTCGTCGGTTTGATTTCGAGTGAATAAATCGACGATGAGCGGAATCAACAGTGAATTGAGAACGGTCTGATTAGCTGTTAAGTTAGATGATGTTAAACGATGATAATAAGAAACTAACGATTGATTTATGTTATCGTATCGATAAGGATTTCCATTGCAAATAGTAACAGCAGGAAATGGCATGCGACGATCGAGTCGTATGTCAACTTTAGTTTGCGTTGGATAAGAACAATACTGTAGAATATTTGATATAACAAAATACAACATCATACCG